TTCTTGCAGTACGTTACTGTTTTTTAGTCAAAAAGTTTTTCAGAAAAATATGGTCCAGATGATCGTTGGAAAGAGTTCGATTTTTTTTATTTTTTAAAAAAAATATATTTTACAAATATAGCTACTAAATAATTTAATCTTAAAATAAATATAAACTCTTTTCAATAATCACTTAAACCAATTTTTTCAATCAAAAAAAAAATAAAAATTTTGTTAGAAAGTTAAGTAAACTATAGCAGCAGTTTGTAGTAAAAGAGGTTAACTAGCTATGGGAACTCCTTGTTATATTCAGTATGCAAACCAGAAGTCTAGTCAAGAAAAAAAAACAGATGGTATTCTCGGCAAGCAATATAGATTTTGGTAAACAAAGTTTTATCGACAAAGCTCTGTAGATTATAGTTCTAAGAAGACTTTAGTAGTGGTATTAAAAGAAATAAAGATTAATCTGGCTTGGAGAACTTTATTCTATATTCAGTATACAAGCCAAAAGCAATATATATAAAGAAAAAAAAAGCAGATAGCACTTTTTACTATAACAAATTTTGGTAGAACACATATTCTGTTGATAAAACTATAGGGTTTTTCTTTAGAACTCAAAAGTATACAGATTATTCAATTTTCTTAAGTTATACTTCTTTTATTCATTTAAGTGGTTCCTTTTTTTCTCTCACACATTTTTCTATTAGTTTTTCAAAAATTTTCATAAAAAATAGAGAATTTGGCTTACTCTTTTTAAAATCTTAGTATTGTTTATTTCCCAAATTCAGACAGACTAGCAAAATGCAACCATGTGTTTATTTATAAACAGATATGGTGCTAATTTATAGGACTTGGCCTGGAAACTCTAATTATGACAGCAGGTGGCTTGAGATACAGGTCCTTAAATAACAGTAGCACCTGGCTTGAGATATGAATTAGAACAGGATCCTAGAAACTTATATTAGATGTTCCTGTCATGTGAAATAGGTAAAGTTCATATAGAAAATTTTCTGATGTTACCAGCTAAAGTATAGGTAAAGTTATTAGTAAAGGAGCGAAAATTTTATCAAAAAAGAAAATGTCACACAAAAAATATACGAAGTCATGTAATCTGCTTTTCTTTTACAGTAATGATTATCATTTTTAGCCAATTGGCTTGCAAGTAAAAAAATGATAAAATTGACTTCATTTTGCCGGGAACATCTAATATAAGTTTCCGGGTCCTATTAGAACAGACAATGAAGCGATTCGGAGTTGATAAGAAGGTTGGAAAGTAAATTTAATATTAAGGTAAAGCTTTATAGTAGAGATATACAAATATTGTATTTGTTATATAATTTTTATTAGCCTTGCATGGGTTATAATAGTGTCTTCAAAGTTTTAGATTTCTTTTCATATTTTTTCTTTTTCACAATTAGTGTTTCTTTATTTTTTCTGTTTTTTTTTTTTCTAGTTATTTTTGCAAATCTTCTTTTAAAAATTTTCTTCTTTTGTCTTGTGCTTCTTGAAAAGAAGAGAGAATTAGAAGGGAAAAAAGAAATTCTGACACAATATACAACAACCTGTCAAATAATCGAAAGAGGTATCATTTCAACAATCAAAGTCTAAAGCAAGTTTTGGATCCTAAGTAAAACTAATAGTTGTTATAGCAAGTCATATTGAATAACAGCATTAAGATACAATACAAAATTTCTGGATTTGATTAATGTTTTGTGTAATATTTAACAACTTATAAATTAAACTTTTTCCAAACTTTAAACAAAGATATCTTAACAACTAACAAGCCAAATTCGATAATCTTTTTTAATTTGGATTCTGTAAGTTTATAGAATTCGAATAAAAAAAGGTTTAGCAAATTTGGCTTGGTGGTTGTCAATATATTTTTGCTCAAAGTTTAGAAAAGTTTTGGTATAGATTATTTTAATAAGGTATTTTTGAATTTATTTAAGATTTAAGTGAAGATATCTTGTCAACCACCAAGTCAAATTTAATAAATTTTTTTTTAGTTGCATTCTACAAATTTGTAGAATTTAAATAAAAAAAGATTAATTGAATTTGACTTGGTGGGTGTTGTGATATCTTTACTTAAAGTTTGAGAAAAATTTTAATACAACTTTGTTTTTATAGATGTTTTGAGTTTTCTTAAAACTTTGAGCGAAGATATCTAGTCAACCACCAAGCTAAATTTAATAATTTTTTTTATTTGTATTCTACAGATTTGTAGAATTTAAATAAAAAAAAGTTGATCAAATTTGACTTGGTAGTTGTTGTGATATACTCAAAGTTTGGAAAAAATTTTGACACAGCTTTGTTTTTATAGACATTTTGAATATTTTTAAAACTTTGAGCAAAAATATCTTGTCAACCACCATGTCAAATTTAATAAATTTTTTTTATTTGCATTCTATAGATTCATATAATTAAAATAAAAAAACTTTATCAAATTTAACTTGGTAGTTGATGAGATATCTTTACTCAAAGTTTGAAAAAAAGTTTGGTACAACTTTATTTTAGTAGATGTTTAGAGTCTTTTTAAAACTTTTAGCAAAAATATCTTATCACCCACCAGGTTAAATTTGATGAAATTTTTTTTATTTAAACTCTACAAATCTGTAGAATGCAAATAAAAAAAATTCATTAAATTTAACTTGTTAGTTGGCAAGATATTTTCACTTAAATATTAAGAAAACTTATCAAAATAAAGCTATACCAAAACTTTTCTGAACTTTAAGCAAAGATATTTCAACAATCACCAAACCAAATTTGATAAAACTACTTATTTTTACTATACATTATTCTAATATGATAAGTATATTAGCTGTGTAGTAATACTAAAAAAAACTAATAAAACTTTTTTTATCAAAATTCTATAAACTTATAAGATCCAAATTAAAAAAGGTATCATATTTGGCTTGGCAGTTGTCGAAATATCTCTGTTTAAAGTTTAAAAAAAGTTTAGTTTACAAGTTGTTAGATGTTAGACAAAATGTCAATCAAATCTGGAAATTTTGTACTGCACCCTGATACTGTTTGCATTGAATAGTATTTAGATACATCTAGTGAGTTTTTTATTAGACTAAGAACTATTCACTATATGAAAAACATATGTACTCTATTACAGTATATTTACATAGCAGTTTATATAAATAAAAAGCAGGATTGCTTAAAAAAAAAAAAAAAATTTATTAAAATACTAACTAATAATAATTTTAATAAAGTTTTAAAAAACTTTTAAAAAAATACATTATACTGTATATATATATAGCATTATATATAATTTTTACTTGTTAAAAAACTAATACTTATTACATAAATATAATCTCTCTCAGAGTTAGTTATTTGACAATTACAAAATCTAATGTAATTAATTTTAACAATTATGTTTTTTGATTACATTAGTATTTGTATTGGGGAGGCTATATTTATATAATAAGTGTTAGTTCTTTTATATCTATATATTAATTATAAACTGTATATATATAATATATAATGTATTCAAAAACAATAACATATTTTTTAAAAAATAAATAATTAAAAAAAAAATAAAATAAATTAATCCAATTATACGCTGTATCACTTGTTCAAAAAACAAAATAAATTAACCAATTATATGCCGTATCACTTATTAAAAATATCTAAGTGAGCATCGGTTTCGTGTAACATCCCGTTGATATATATATAGTATGTATTACATAATTATACGAAACCGATATACGTCAAATTGAAGAGGCACTAGTTAAAGTATAAAAACTAGTTGTTGTACGTAAAAAATATATAGCAATTCTACAAATTATAAGATATATATCCATATATATAAATATATATATATATATACAGCAGTATATATATATATAATAAATTCCTGCTACGTACTGTACGTGCTTGTGTGCTGGAAAACGAAACAGTCAAAATACTTAAAAAAAAATCTATTAATAGAAAAGTTTCAAAGTTTATTATTTTTGTACGTACGTAAACAAATCATCATTATGTATTGTTGTAATACTGAATTTAGTTACGTTACTAATAATCCAATATTTCCAGAAACCCCAACATATATATAGTGTGTGACAATATAGGATTTTAAAAAAAATATATATTAATAGAAAGAAGTTGAGTATGGCATCACCTTTTAAAATAAACAAAATTTAGCATTTTCAAATTGTACAACAGTTTGGTCTAAATAAGGACAGAAAAGTATTGGGATAGAAATTAAACGTCGAAAATAAGAACGAGGGATTCAAAACGTACATTATGAAAAAGGCTAAAAATGATACACAAAAAATAAAAAATAAAAAATAAAAATAAAAAATAAATGACGAATAAATATTCTGAATAAAGGATAGGTACATATTATCATGAAAAGGATATTTGAATAATTGTTATGCATTAAATAGAGAAATATAGCTCGAGAAGTTAGGCCTCGCCGTAAGTATCAAGTTTAAAAAGAATAATATATGCGCAGACGATGATAATGAGAGCAAGTCATAACAGATAAACCCTTGAAAGTATGTACGTATGTACTTACCTACTTACGTACAGTACCTACCTACCTAAATTAGAACAAGCATTTAAATAATTTAACTAACTTGTTTAATAATCTTTTTAGTACTAGAAATTTGAATCGAATCGAATCATCTAAAGGTTTATTTCAATGTTCACACGTTGCCAAAAACAGGATCATTCAGTTCAAAAAGATGGACCCGTAGAACTTAACCGTAGAACGCATATATTTTTAATCCCGTGATAAACGATTTGCAGTGCATTTTTAGGTTATATATTTCTGTATTTATTAAAAGCATTAATCGATTAATCTAATTTAATTGATTTTAATGAAATTCTTTATTGTTAATAAGAAAGATAAATTTAATGATTTTTTGGAATCATCATCTGAAGCTATCTTCGTCAGGTAAAACAAAGACCTTCATGTAACTTTTGGCGTGTAATCGAGTTAGATTGGTAGTTAATTAAAATTGAGGCCTTGATTGTCTGAATAACGGTAGGACTGATGTCCAAATATGTAAAATACAAGGTCTTTTTGATCGGTCCCACTTTTGTAAAACCACCCACGTGGGACCGAGTGAGACTTATTAGTACAGGGTGAATTTTGTAATGCAGAACACGAATCAATCTAGTGGAATAATATGTAGTTTGAAATTATCTATTTATACACAGGTACTTTTCCAAGATTGGCAACTTTTCGAGTGGTAGACTACAAAACCTCTGGTTGCAACTTACTAGAGGTTATATAGCACTCTGGTCACCCATCGCTTGATAGAATTTCTCTTTTAGTCTGTCTATAGTTGTAATACTGGATTATATTAAAGGAAAATTCATCAAACTGGGTTCCCAGGTTTCGACGAGCGGAGGTGCGCTGCAATCCGGCGAAAGGAGGGATAGTGATAGTCAAAAGTGTAAATCACCTGTACGTGAGCGATCTGGCTCAAGAAACGATGTTCAACCATCATTCGCTGGCCTTTACAGCCATAGCAATTCCTCTACTTCAAGTCTCGGTAAAAAGAAAATCAAGGCCGACAGGATTGTTGAGATTGGTAAACCTACAGGTTTTGAACATGGAATCCATGTAGAATATAATAACGAAAGTGGCAAATATTTGGTAAGCTCTAATAATGGGTTTTTCTATACTTGGATGAATGAATCATTCAAGTTTTAATTAATCCCAATTATTTCTAAGCCTTCAATTCTTGTTTATGCGCATTGAGATATTGTAATTGATGTATGCCCATTTTTATATTTCCAGGGTCTACCTGATGTTTGGGTAAATGATATAGTACAGAGTGATGAGGTTCTAAATACAAAGTACCTAAATCCTAATCTTGTTCCAAGCCCAAGTACTCCCGGTATGTTATTACCAAATTGTGAGAACTATTTATTTAATGCTTTTTTAATTTAATATATTTTGTCTCTTAGACCAAACTGAGGTTACGGGAAAGAAAATTGGCCATCCTTTTAATGTTAAACATCAGGTTCATGTTGTTGTGAATGAATCTGGAATTGTGGTATGTTTTAAATTATTATTATTATTATTATTATTATTATTATTATTTTTTAACATACTTATTGAAATGTTTGAATGTTGTAGGGTCTTCCTACTAATTGGGAAGGTGATCCTAGACTTAGGCATCTACATGAACAACGTACACTACTATCAAATCAGACATTAGTTCATCAACGTTCGATATCTCTGGACTCTCAAGCTGTTAGGCCAAATGATAATAGAACTCCTACAATGTCAAATACATTACCTCCTCCTCCGAGAAAATTATCAAGTCCATCCCCATCTTTTTATAATCAAACCAATTATTCGCCTGATATACCTAATGATTCAAAACCTTTTCAAATATCTACCAATCGAAAAAATTCAGATGGGTCTCAAAAGTCTGATAATGGTTCTATAAAATCTTATCCTATTTATCCGTCAAATAGAGACAATAGCACGTCTCTCATGTCAAAGGCGAATCCATCCCAGGAATCAATCACTTCTATTTCTACAAGAAATTCTGCCGCATCTATTCCTCCAAAAACCCCTCCAAAAACCCCTCCGAAAACTCCTCCAAGAATTCCACCAAAGTATACTCAAAAAATTCCACCAAAAAAGGTATTAAATATAATACCAGTAGGAAACCAAATGCAAATGCCTAAACCACCACCAAGAGATTCAACACGTATTACTTCACCTTTATTTAAAGCACAACCCTCTTCACCGTTACCTCCAACTCCTCCACCAAGAACAGAAAGAGCTTCATCATCCATGCAACGAAAAATTCTAAACGGTAATCAATATAATAGCGACAGTGACAACATTGATATCCCCTATAAGCCATCATCACCATCATCACCTTCGTCTCTTACTGTAACAAATGTATCACCTTCACTTAAAAAAAAACTATCAGCTCCTCAGATTTATACTTCTGTAAATTCAGATGAACCACTTATAGATATTTCTACGCTACGCTATCTATTTGAAAAACCTAAGTCGCCTGCGCTGCCTCCACCTAGGCATACCCAAAAAGTGGTATCATCACATCCAAGCAGAGAAAATATTAATCGGCCTAATAGTTATAAATTGGAAAATATAATAGAACCAACTTCTGAAGTAAAGAATTCACCGGCTTCAAATACTCCCAGGAAATTTTCGGATACTTCACGAGAATATGTAAACAATAACAACATTACACGCGCACAAAAAGCTTCTAGTGAGATAGTACCTAAGCAAATTGTTCATGCATCATTGGCAAATCTAAATAATTCGAATGCCACTTCTCAAAAAGTAAATATAATTTCTACTCTAAAACAAAAAAATCAGGACAATAACAAAGTAACTGTTAATGATACTCAAGAAAATTCGAAAAATGACAAAGTAACAGTAAATAATATTCAAGAAGATATTAAAGTAACAGTAAATAATATTCAAGAAGATTACTTTAATATTAAAGTAATATCGATTAATGCTCAAAATGATTCGCATGCCATATCACACGTTGCATCTGATACCACACCATCAACAGAATCTATAAGTTCTTGCTCAAAACAGAAATGCTCTGATGATACGTTATCTACAGAAAAAGATTCAAGTTCATCGTTATCAGAAAATTTGAACAATGACTCTTATGATTCTAAAACAGCAGCCGCATCGGTCGTTATTTTAGAAAGTATACCTGAAATTTCCAACATAACTTCTGAATGCCCCTTGGAAACAACAGACAATACTTTTATTCATCAAGAACAAGAATTACACCCAAAAGATAGAAAAATAATAAATCGAATATCTTTGCCTACATATCTTCCGTCTTTAATTAATAATTCATTAATATCAACAACATCGATGACAAAATTATCACGATTTTCCGAAAATTTATCCATATCGGACATCCAGAAATCATTAAATACATCAAAAGATATGCAAACGGATTTAGAAATACCTTGCTCAAATCCAGAAGAATTACCACAAGAAGTTCGGCATTTAGGTTTGCAATTTGTTTTCTATGAAAAAATATTATAATTTATATTTTGTGATATTTTGTGGCTAACATTATTTTATTTTAGCCGAATTATTTAATATGTATGATCCAAATAAAATATATGAAAACTTGATTCCGATCGCTGAAGGTGAATCTGGCTATATGCATTCAGCAAATAAAAAATCTTCACAGATACCGGTAAGATTTTAAAATTTTAATAAATGATCCTTGGATGTAATCATCTCATTTATTTTTATTTAAAATATATATATACTTTTTTACATAGGTTGCTATCAAAATAATTCCTTTTTCAAGTGTTGACAAATTAAAAATAATAAAAAATGAGTTGACTATCATGAAAACAAGTAAACACCCTAATATTGTTGAATATATAGGGTGTCACTGTATATCAGATTCTATATGGGTTAGTAAAGCTTGAATTTATTAGCCCTATTTATTTATATTTACCTTTATCGGTTTATCTTATTTTATTTATTTATTTATTTTTTAAACATGTTCTATACTATTATTATTATTATAGGTGGTTATGGAATTTATGGAGGTTTCTTTGGCCGATCTCATTGCAATGTATCCGGATGAACCACGAATGCAGATGAACGAACTTCAAATAGCACTTGTTACTCGAGAGATTTTGAAAGCTTTAGCACATCTTCATAGTCTACGGCGTATACATAGAGACGTTCGTAGCGATAATGTCTTATTAAACGTTCGGGGAGATATTAAACTGAGTAATGTCATTTTACTTAATTTACTTATCATTGATCATTTTTCAATGACTTTATACTGAAACAATTGTTTTGTAAATATTATAGCTGATTTTGGGCATGCTGTACAGTTGACCGATACGGAATCCCATCGAAAATCATTTGTAGGAACCCCCTATTGGATGGCTCCTGAAGTTATAAAAACCTTACCTTATGACACAAAGGTTAATTTCCATTTCTTGTAAAAACTTATTATCTGTTAGAGTAATCATATTCTTACGAATTTCGATTTTTTTTACTAGGCGGATATGTGGAGTCTTGGTGTTCTATTAATTGAAATGGCAGAGGGAGCTCCTCCGTATATGGATATTCCAGCTTTGAAGGCTATATCTGTGATAGCCCAAAAAGGTCTTCCTGGCTTGAACAATCCAGAACGATGGTCAGATGCATTCAAAAGTTTTATTGCAAGTTGTACCGAAGCAGATGTTGACAAGAGAAAAACTGCAGAAGAAATGCTTTCTGTAAGTTTTTTAACTCATTTAATTTGATCTTTGATAGACATGATTGTTAAGTAGTTAACTATTATGTTATTTATAATCTTTGTATAGCATCCTTTTCTCGAACATGTCTCTACTTCAAATGATTTTCAACAAATCATAAAGGAATATCAACAATTAGAAGCAGAGAAAGAAGAATCAGACGAGCAATTCATTGATCCGAGTGAATATCCAAATATGGAAGATGGTGATGATAATTATGCTGACCATAATATTGAATGTAATAATTTACAAGGCACTAATGTTACATGAAGGACGATGGGATTATTGGGTTTATGGGTTTATTGTATTTATTTTAATTTATAACAAGCTGACACTTTTTTTTTTAGGACTGATAATTTTTAAAATAGTTTGAGACTTTAATTATAAAAATTGTTCTTTTTTTTTTTTAGTGTAGTATTATTGTATGATAAATTATTGATTATTTTCACATAACAAGCATATATAATAATATATTGCTTTTTCAGTATATAAAATATTTCACTTCACAAAAATCTTATGAATGTAACTGATTTGATAAATATTTACTGTTACGTTAAAAATGTTCAGTTTCACTTGTGTTTGACGGAAACCATACTCCAGAATCAAATACCTTTAACCATGAATATTGATAGTTGATCCTCGGACTCTCGTTACACGGACCCATGTGTACAATGTACACCAATGTACACATAATAATTGACCGTTGTACTAAGGTGTGCACATGATTTTTAACTCTGATACAAGGCTGCAACACCAAATCTCCGAAATTCCGGCATTTATTATTCTTTTTTTATGAAATTAGTCTTTTTTTTGTCTCTAGCCATTCACCTTTTAGGCTTCCCCAAAAGCTTGTAATTATTATTTTACGGTACAGAGTAGTTCAGTATGGATCAACAAAACGGAACGTCCCGTTCAGAATCTGTTCCTCCACCACCTTCGCAACACCCTGAAACGGTTTCTGGTGGTGGCTCTCACCCTTACACTTCTAGAAAAGATCGTTCTTTATCACCTAGAAGTGGCTATCGTCGTTCATCTTACTCTCCACGGCGAAGAAGTCCTTCTCCCAGAGGTTACCGTAATGGTAGAGAGGAAAGATATAGAGAAGATCGATATGCTAGAGAAGATAGGTATGATCGAGGTTATGCCAGAGGTGGTTACAGAGAAGAAAGAGGATACCGTGATAACTTTTACGGTTCTGAAAGACGAGGTCCTCCAAGAAGAAGTAAACCAATTGATCGGTAAGAATTTCTTTTTAGTCAAAATTGAAATTTTTAGTTTTAAAATATTACATAATATTGTAGTGGTAGTGAAAAAGAAAGGCGTGATTCTACTACTCTTTACGTTGGTAATCTCCCTTACGCATTTCGCGAACAAGACGTTGCTGATATGTTTGAACGCTATGGTCGCCTGAGAAAAGTGACTGTCCAAATTGATCATTATACAGGAAGGAATAAAGGGTTTGCACAGATAAATCGTTATTTTTTTTTTTTACTAGGTTAAAGAATTTATATAAATATTAAGAATTGATTGGAAATATTATTGGATGTTCAGTTTTGCTTTCGTTGAATTTGAAGACCGAAGAGACGCTGAAGATGCATTTGATAAATACAACGGAACTAACGTTGAAGGTCGTCGGCTTAAATTAGATTGGTGCTTATTTTTTACATTTTTATAATTCTATGTTATAAAAAAAACATCTTATCTACCATAACTTATTTCTTCAATCTTTAATGTTTAGGGACATTGGCTTGAACAAAAAGGATGCTCATCGTAGGGATAAATATGCCATGATGGATAATTATGGGTACGTCTTAAAATCTGGTCATACACTTTTATTATCATTACATAAGTATTTATTAACTCTGGCTTTATAATTTTCATTCTTCAGACGACCTGATCCTTGTAAGTAAATAATTATTTCTTTCTCTTGAAACTTTATTTTTATCTACTAAAAATTCTTACTTTTAAATCTTTACATTCATTAGACCAACGTGGCCCTTCACCAATCATGCGTGGATTTAGCCCAAACTACAGAACTGGCGGCCGTTCGTCAAGCCCTTACCGTCGATAAATTGAAGTTCTTGGATGAATCATTGTTGGGGAACTCGTATTTTACTGTTGAATATCAATTATAAATTATTGGTACCTTAGCGGATTTGTGCAATTTTTCATGTTTGGATATAAAAGTGGAAATCATAAAAAAAAAAAAAAAAAAAAAAAAAAAAAAAAAAAAAAAAAAAAAAAAAAAAAAAAAAAAAAAAAAAAAAAAAAAAATAAAAAAAAAAAAAAAAAAAAAGATAATAATATTGATCAAACTGTATGAAAAGAATGACGGGCTTGGAATATTTATTAGACAGAAAACTGTAGATTTCATATTTCACCGCAACAGAAAGAGAAAAAAAAAATGCATTATATTTTATGTTTGTTGATAGTAGCTATGCATCATCCGGCAACCATTTTGTAGACGAGAAAAGAAACCTGGATTAGATGAATCATTTTTTTTTAAAAAAAAAAAGTTTCGCCAAAATTTTTGTTTGTTTTTTTTTTTCTGGATTGATAGAAACGGTTTGCAGAGTTGACTGCTTTGAGATGACGTGATGATAATCGATCCAGAAATTGTAGATATATCGTCGCGATTCGCATCTGCAGATTTTAAGATAACTCATACGGCCGTGCGATATTTAGTTGTTAATAGCTATGACATAAATACTTACTTTTTTTAATAATAGTCGTAGGGGAGAGGTGGAGTCGATATTATTGCCAGAATTAAAGGTAGAAAATTTTCATTTCAATGTAAGAATTGGAGTAACAAAATAGGTAAATATTGTTTATTTATTTATTTATTTATTTATAAATTTTTGGTATTGATTGATTAATTAATTAATATAGGGCCAGAAGCAGGGTTGTTAATGAAGCAACATACTCCGAAGCAACCGGGTTATACTCCAGTTTAAGGTTGGAGTGGGTTGGGATTTTAAGAATTATATAATAACCCGGGTTGTTCCATATGGAGTGACCTGGAGCAAAACTCGGGTTGCTCCATATTGAGTGACCTGGAGCCCGTGACAGTGATTTTATGTAGTGATAAAATCCAAATTATGTGGTAAAATTCAAATTATGTTATATGATGTGAACCATATTTGTCAAATTATGTGCGATTCTGTTGTATACTTGGCCGAATTATGTGCGATTCTGTGGCATTCTTGGCCGAATTATGTGCGATTCTGTGGTATACATGGCCAAATTTTGTCGGAACTTTTCGGACTTTATTCAAAAAATTTTCATGGCCTTGCTCGTAATTTGAGTTCAGTCAATTTTATGTCGGGAGGTTCCGGATCCGTTAGGGTTTATTCATCAACTCGCCATTAAATTGCCAAATTACGTGATAATTCTTGTAAATTGCCATATTATGTGATATAAGCATCTTTATGTGTTATGTTAAGCACATAAAATCACAGTCCTTGCCTGGAGCAAAACCCGGGTTGCTCCATTTTGAGTGATCTAGAAGTCAAGCAGATTGACATTTTAAAAAAATCAATCTCTTTAACTTTCACAACTCATCTCTCAATGAAATTTGAGGCTGTTTTGATGAATTAATATTTAAAAAAAAGCCTAGATCTTTTGAATATTAACTCATCAAGATAATCTTAAAATTATCGAAATATAAATTATAAAAGTTAAAAGATTAATTTTTTTTTAAATCGTTAATCTGTTTAATTTCTATTAATAGCAGCCCATATCTACAAAAAAAAAACTAATAATAAAAAAAGATAAATATTTTATCTAAAAGTGCTACTTTATTACTAATTTATATCTAATAAAGCCCAAAAAAACTTAAATAAAAAGAGAATATTAAAGTTAATAAACAAAAAAACTAAAAAAAATATTTAACTAAGTTTAAAAATTTAAAAAATATTAAAGTTAGTAAATAAAAAAACTAAAAAAAATATATATAGTTTTATTTAAAAATATTATTTTAGTTTAATTTATATCTAGCAAAATTTAAAAATTCAAAAAAAAAATATTAAAGTTAGTAGTTAAAAAATAATAATAATAATAATAAACAAATTTTTATTCAAATAAAGTATATTGTTTTAATATTTATTTATATTTAATAAAGCTTAAAAAAATAAAAAAAAGTTATTAAAAAAAACAAATACTGTAATTGTTAATCCACTAGTCAACCAAAGAGTGATCATAGTAAAATGTGACTCAAATTATAAAAATTAAGGGTTTTCAAATATGGTGTGTGTGCATCTAAAACTTTTTTTATACTAAGTTAATCACTTTTCTAATTTAAAAGACTTTTGTAGAGCTTGTCAAGACATATCTAATAGTAGTTAAAGCATTAAAATCAACCTAGTAGGTGTCAAGATATCTTTAAAAAATAGTTCTTTTACTATGTAAACTTTTTTACAAACAATAGTATTGTTTGTAAAAAAGTTTATATAGTAAAAGAAAAGTTTTTTAAAGATATCTTGACACTTACCAGGCTGATTTTGATGCTTTAACTACTATTAGATGCATCTTAACAAGCTCTATAAAAGTTTTTTAAATTAAAAAGATGATTAACTTTGTATAAAAAAAAGGTTTAAATACATGTATACCACATTTGGAGACCCAATTTTTATAAATAATTTGAGTCACATTTTATTATAATTATTCTTTGGTTGACTAGTGAATTACCAAGTAATAAAAAAAATAATAAATTTAACTATTATTACCAAAGTATTTATATTTTAAAATATACAAGTTACTTTTGTTATATATTGGCAAAATATATATATATAAATCTCTGTAAGTTTTTATGTAAGTATAAACTTATGAAAACTTACGATTAGTTTGAAATATTATGTAGATGTAATAATTACAAAAGTTTATACTATAGCAACTTTGGAGTATTATATATAGAGATATGCAAATACAAATTTTTTAGCTTTGCATTGCATAAAGCAACATTATGATGTATTATGTAGTTCTTTATAATATACTGTTATAGAACGAATTAATTATTAGTTATTATTTTATTATTTAATATTTAATTATTATCTTAGATTATTATTATTATTATCTTGTATTATTATTAACATGTCGCTCAGTCACTTAGTCGCT